CTACCAGTACTAAAGTGGGAGTTATTAGAGGAAACGACCCAGCTGTAATTAGACCTCCACTGTGTACTTACTTGGAAGAACATGTTAATTCTGCAATATGTTTCTTAGTTAAACATTGCACAGTTCTTACCTCATTTCTGTAAATAAAGTTTTGTGAATCTGTTTTGTATTGTGAAGAATTCATAAGAAAACATTGATATTTTGATTTGTAATATTTCTAATTAGTAGATTTAATTGACAAAGTAAAAAATAATTTATTTTTATATGTTCTGAGGAATTTTTTAAAAATGTCACAAATCACTTTTGTAGATACTTTCCAAAAGTAACCCAGTGGTTTATTTTACTTACTCGACCCACTGGTGGATATTCTGTAACAATTTGTACAAAAGGTAAGATGGAAATGTGCTGTTATTTTGACAAGATGTAAAATTCCAAGTGTATGAAAAGATATGTACAAAGCTTTTGTTAATAAACTTTAATAATGTTTATAGTCGTATACACTGCTTGTGTGCACATCAGTCTGGTGGAAGAACAGACTATTGCTGGTACCGTCACAGGAGAGGAACCATTTCCATGGCACGTGGCCACTAACGTTTGTTAAGACAAAGCCTTTAAAATGTTTTTCATGTCAGTTTGTGTTCCCCAAAGGCCTGATGCAGCTGCAGGGCTGGACTTGTGCTTGCTGAACGTAACATAAATGTGCAGTTGCAGCCCTGTGCCCTAGTCCAGTGTCAGGGCTTTTTGCTTTCATCCTTCAATGAGGAATTGCCGTGAAACTGCAGGAGCGGGAGGGAGCTGTTGCTCTCAGGGCCCCAGTTCATTTGGAATAGCTTCACAAGTGCCCTGTTCAGATGGGATGGGTGCGTTACGGATGCGGTGCCTGCGCAGAGGTGACGGAGGCCTTTGGTTGTTGCTGTAATTTTTGTACCATGTTTTCTGTAAAACCAGCTCTATGTTTGTTCTAGGAATTTTGCTTACTGCCTATGGAGGGGTTGGGAAACAGAGGTGGACTTACCGCCTTCTAGTTCCCAGTCACGTGAAGATAACCATGAGGTTGTGGCACACAAGGGATGCATTCTGGCTTCCTCACAATTTTTAGCCCCTTGTTGATCAGGCACAGCCTCAGGCTGAGACTTAACTTTTGGAACAAGCAGCAGGAAGATGGTGTTGCCAAAGGCCTGTGCTATTTGTATACTACTCCATCTGCTTGAGGCCCAGGCATGGAACATCTTTATTTTGTTTTCAAGTGGGTAAAACTAGAGTCCTGAAAGAAGATGGGTAAATGAGCAAGCTCAGAACTAACACTAGGGGAATGTGAATTGTCACCTGGTGCAGCGAGGGGCACCACTAACCCCTGCCTGGCTCCTCCGCCATGCGGGCTAGAAACAATTCACTACACTCCTGGGGTGGTTGATGACTGTTTTATGCTCTTGGGCGAAGAGGCTCAGAAAACTGGATGTTTCACTGATTAAACCTAAACCATCTAGCCAAGCTCTAGCGCTGGGTGCCACCTTTCTTCTGGCTCTGTTGTTAGTTGGTGCTAAGGAGGGAGAGTACATAGCACCTGTAGGCTGGGCTACTGGACTTATACTTCACGCTGCTACACCTGTAGGAGCGAAGCAAAGCCCAATATGCCCACCAGGGAGTCCTGAGTGTCCCTTTGCTGGGAGTCACAATCAGGAAGGTTACGTTGCTGCTGCTGTATTCACAGACCTAAGCTGAAGCCAAAAACTTTACCTGGTAGATAGACAGGAGGTTATCAATCAGTCTGTCGTCTTGCTCCTGCTGGATCAGTACCACAGGAACCAGCAGTAGTGGTAAGTCCTGATTTGCCTTGTGTGTTTCTTTGATCTGAGAGGGACTGCCTGAACTCTGGTGTCAGCCTCCTTTTCAGATGTAGAGAAGCAGGAAAGGGGCAAAGTTGGAAATACTTGTGATGTTGTGAAGTTCAGGACATTCTTAAAAATCTCCACTTGTTAGAGATGGGTGCCAGAAGCCCAAGATGTTTCGCAGCACACATAGTCCTGATGGACCGTCGACAGCAGAGAAATAATGAAAAGGACAGTTCTGACATCCAAACAAAAATCCAATTCGCAAGCGCTGTAAAGGAAGAGACCACATCAAAGCCAAGTTCACGTGAGGGCCAGATGCAGCCAAACCCAACCTTGTTTCAATGACTTTGCAGATCCTGACATCAAAGATGATGGGCTGGGGCTGATCTGGCACCAGTTCAGCAGAAGCCGATGCTGCCGTCCCTGTGGAATGCCTCTGATGCCAGAGCAGTCCGAGCTGCTGCACAGCCCCTGGCAGCAAAGTGGGTGGTGATGGAAATGCCCTCCAGGGTGCTGGGAACTGCTCCAGGTTCAGTGTCACAAGAGCAGCACAGGCCACGTGCGCTGCGCTCCAGAAGGGTTCCATGTTAATGGGCTTCTGAACTTCCTGCTGCTTTTTCCCACCAAAATCCAGCTTTACTGGCAACAGTGACAACACCTTCCAGCTTACAGCAGCCAACTATGTCTGGGCAGCCTGTGACATCTCCAGTCCTGGTTTACCAGCTTTCTCCATGCAAACCATGTCAAGCAGGAGCTGCTCTTCCAGCAACATCGTGTGATGTTTAAACCGACCTATTTTCTGGTGCCTGTTTTCCATAGGCTGCGCTAAGATGTCACTGTTGGCTCTGCCTGAAGGCAAGCTCTTCTAAAGCCAAACACTCCCTGTTTCTGTTGTTTCCAGACCCTGTCATCTCATGAAGAGGTCACATCATTGCAAGACCTTCCTGAATCAACTTTTTAATTAGCTCATACACTGACAGCTGTGAAGTTGAGAATGTAGCCCAAACATTTAGACCTACAGAACACTGCACAACAAGCATCTGTCAGACTTTCTTCTAGAACTAAACTAACCTAAATTAGAGCACTATTAACCTTTATCACATCTCAACCATATTCTACTTACTTGTGTATGGTTGTGCAGCTGCAATGTGACCACACTCCGATGCTGTAGCTTAGCATTTGACCTGTATCTGCAGCAGTGCAGGGGAGTACTGACCCCCGGGCAAGTCTGCCCCCAGTGCCTCCTTCCAGTGTGATTTGCCACCAACAGGGACATGCATTATTATCCTTCAGAGCCACAACAGCCAAGTACAGTTCTGCATCACCAGCATCAGGGAGACACAGAGATCACAAGGTGATCACAAAGCTCTCCTTGTACGTACTTGAGGATTTCTCTCTCATGCTCCCTCGTGTAGAGCAAACACCAGCAGTTCCCTCTGTCCTTCCTAGGTGCTTTGTAGACTGGATCATTCTCTTTGCTCTCTTCTGGATGATCTGGATCTTCCTTGAAGTGTGACACACTGACCTGCGCACGCCACTCCAGGTGAAGGCTTGAAAATCCAGAGCAGAAAGGAGAGATGAGTCTCTTATCCTCACAGGCTACACTCTCCTGTTACTTGCTTTCTTCTTTTGAGGCAGAAATACTCCAATTACCAGTCTATTTTTTCATGAACAATAAATCTCCATTCGCTTGTGTTTTTCCACCCCAGCCCCATCAATGCTCCACTGGGTTAACTTCCCCAACTCGCCCATCTTCTCTTTGTAGCCATTTCAGTTCCTTGCTTTACAGCCAAAGTCATCTACCTGCAAGGGTGACTAATACCTTTCTAAAGTTAAGATTTCCTGATACCTCTTGAACGCACCTCACTTGGTCTCACTTAAGACTCTTCCTTCATATGTGGCTTAGCAGCACAGAACTACTTGCTGGATCAGCACGCACAGGTCATGGCACAGCTTCTAACTGTGTTTAGCTTAATTTAGATGTGTTATTTTGTGTCTAATAACTTTTCCATAATACCATTATTTCTACTAAGATTTTTTTACATAGTTCCAATTGTTAAAGGAACACATGGAACACTGTAACCTGCTCTAAATACTTCTCCCTTCAAGTTTTACGGGAATGGGATGAAACACTGTGAAATGCTAATCTGTCAGAAGCCACACAACTGGCAAACAGTCACTGGAGAAAGTCAACAGTGTAAATGGCAGAAAGCTAACAGAGATTCTCAGCCACCAAGTTCTGACTCTGAATTCGGGTACATGATCCACTTTAATTCTAATTCTGAATTAAAGCTCAAAAACTTATCAGAATCCTGATTTTAAATCAGAATTTCATAAAATTAGAAGTGATAAATAATCAGTTTAGAAAAGCAAGTCCTTAATCTTTCTTGCAAAAGACGATGATCACTGCTGTGATTTATGATATAATTTACAGCCCATAAAGTACCCTTTACTCCAGCATTTTATTCCAAGATTATGAAAAATAAAATAGCAACTAAGGAATAATAACCCTTATTACCTGTTCTTCAAATATAAAAGCGAGCTATACTGCACCCGGGGTATACAAACCCCTCCTCTTAGCCCACAGATGTGAGCTGTAAGTCCTACTCTGTACTTAAAAACTGGTCCTGAAGTAAACGCCATATATATCTTAATTTCTAACGAAAAAATTAAGGCCTTTAATGTTATTACTCATTTCTACTTCACCAAGTAAACAGCACTGTCAAATATCATGGTGTATTAGGCTGCGGGGCTGGTAAAAAAGGTGTTCTACTGCAGGTGCATATAAATGTCCGTGGAAATTAAGATTCGAAATCCTACTACTTTCAAAGCACTGTCAGGATGACTGGCTGTTTCATGGAGCACACACATGCTCACAGGCACATGGCCTTGGATTTATAGCTGCAAGAAAGAAAAATGTATTTTGAGCGCAGAGTTCCATTCTTCCTATGCTGCTGAACAGTTTCAGATCAATTCCCTCTTCAAAACACATACAAATTCTTTATGTTCTGCATAGTCGCTGGCTGTAAACCCACCCAATCCAGCATGCAATTACCGGTGTGGGTTTTCCTGAAGGTCCACTAGGTTTTAAGGCATTGTTATCACACGTGTGCATCAGCAGCTCTCCAACACAAAAATATACCTTTGTTCTTCAACACACAAACCAGGTAAGATGGTATAAGATTTATTAATATTCTCTTTTACTAAGGCACATGACTTATAGAAATACTGAGGTACAAAGATGCAGTTTCCTGCACATGAGATTTAAAACCCCATTTTGACAAAGATGAGCTACATCTCTTCTGCTCAGAACATTCAGCTTTTAGCCATTTTTTTCTTTTGTACCAGTTCAACGAGCAGCTTGTATCTTGCTATACAATCCTCCTAAAAGGAAAAACAAAGCTGTTTGTTAATCGAAGCTTGATATTTTACTATTCCTTTAACACTAATACATGCTAGAAGAGCCAGGTTCTGGGGCTTTGGGGGTTTTGTTTGATTTGAAGTTGTGCACTGAATTTCAGAAGGACAATCTACATCTAGTGAAGAGTGGATTAGAAAAAATGACCTTGCAATTTATCATAGAAACACAGAATGGTTTGGGTTGGAAGGGACTTAAAACTCATCCAGTTCCAACTCCCCTGCCCCCCATGGGCAGGGACACCTTCCACTAGAGCAGGTTGCGCCAAGCCCAGTCCAACCTGGCCTTGAACACTGCCAGGGATGGCGCAGCCACAGCTTCTTTGGGCAACCTGTGCCAGTGCTTCACAACCTTCATTTTCCTACTTTTTAAATGTTTTTAATATACATTAAATTCACGTTTCTTCATGGATAATTTCCTTCTTTAAAGAGCACACACCCCCAAGAAACCAGCTGCCGGGTACTTCTTGAAATGACTGTAAAGGCAATTATGAAACAGTTGCATTTTAATATCTATTTCAGAACAGTTCTTCTGCAGGTAGGTTAGGACAAGCCTCAATGGGCACTAAAGCAGCAGCTACTGACACCAGGTATTACTGAACAGCCTCAGAGCCAGGGAAACACTCCAATTCCCTCCCCATGTTTCCTGCTCTCACACTGTGTTTGGCATAAATAGAACGGGGATTTTCTGCAGCTACGATGACTGAAGCAAGCAAAGTGTGTGCTATCACAGCTATTAGGAAATTTAGCACAGACCAACTCTATCAATGACAATGAAGGCTATTTTAAAAAGATTATACTTACGAAAAGAACATTAGATAGATTATTGAGCATTTAACACTTGCAGATGGATTACTTATTTTGTTTGTTCATTGAGATGGGTTGAGAAAGGTATTGTAAAAGTGTAAGCAAAGCGGCTCAGCAACGTTTGGTTACTAAGTTTGAATCAAAATTTGTTTTAAAATCTAATTTGTCCTGCAACTGAAGATCTGAAAGGCAGAGGAGAGGGAGGTATTTTAAATGGAACAGGAGGTATTTCAACATCTTCTGTAATAGATCAAACAAACTGAATTAAGTGAAAATGTATTTTAAATAAAAGCAACAAACATGCCAGTAATGCCCTTTAGGTTGATTATGTCTGGGCTGTGCTAGGCTAAGTAAAGACCTCACCTGTCTGCACAGACCCTCAGTTCTTAAGGCAGTCATAAACTGGTAGAAAACCTGTTTCCCCTCGATCTATGCAGCAGTTCAAACAAAGCTCAGCGTACCTTGTTTTTTCCAGGAACACATTTTGCTATTTTATCCCAGCGGTCCGATGTTCCCTTTGGATACTGCTGCAAGGCCATTTCAAGAAGTTTCTGTTGATTTTGAGTCCACAGTTCTTCTGGGGCACGGCTTTTCTCTCTTTTTCTGCTCTCATCATCACTCTCTTCCTCTTGCTCGGTGTTATCAAAATCCTTCTGGCGCCTTCCCCTGCCCTTCTCTTCCGGTGCCTCTTTCGCTGCTGGCAGAGTCATTTCAGGTGCTTTGACAATTTTTCGTCTTCGGTGTCTAGTTTCACCTGCAGTGGTCTCCTTTTGATCCGTTTGGACATCCATCTGCTCTGGGATATGATTGTAGTTCCCCTCCTCCTCCTCTTCCTCCTCCCTTTCTCGCTGGGTGATGATGTGGTCTGGCAAATTCACGTTGACTTTGGCATTCTTGGAATTCTGGGCCAGCGTTTTAAGCTCGGAGAGCCTAATGATACCTGTTACAAGTATTGTTGTTACACTTGTACGAAACCAAACCACGAACATGCAGGGAACTGCTGCAACTAAGTACTGGGAATAGTGCAGAGAGGAGAGAAAGCTTTTCTGATTAAGAGCTTAAGGAAAATGCTTATTGAGAAATCAAGATACTTGTTATGAAGCAATGAACTTTGCCAATTATGAACTTATCTGGTATACGTGAAGTACTAATAAATTACCACACTGATACAAACACAGATAACAGCCTGAACAAATGAACAAAACCCAAAATAAACTGAGTAAGAAAGCCCAGGAGGACGTAGCTAAAAGGAAACGTTCCCTCAGAATAACTAGCAGTTCTTCTCTTTGCTGGAAGTAAGGCAAGGGGCCAAAAGTCCTCCTGGAAAGCATACCCTGAAAGGTACAAAATGCACTGCATTTGCACAGCTCTAATCCAAACACAGCGTTTTTTATAAGCATCACCGAGGATCTAGCAGCACACACCTGGTGTATATGCAACAGAATCCTTCAGCTGTTTGGCTTTCATGGTAACCTGCATGAAAACAACAAGAAGAGACTATTAAAAATTACATTATCTGGGCTATTGAAGAAGTCATTAGCATTTCACTGCAAAACACCAACATCAAACACACATTAAAGATGGTGACACTGATGTTTTTCCTGGCCTGGTTCATACATGGATCCCAAATTGCCAAAAGTAACTTTCTACACTTTGTCCTTTCTAAAAAACATTCCTTCCTCATTAAAATGATGCAAGCCACACATTCCTGTTACTATCACCATTATACATCACAGCTGATAGTCAAATTTTATTTCCTTTCATTGTAAACCCCTTATTTTCTAACCTGAAAATACCACAAGGGGGGTGGGGGGAAAGGAAACAAACGAGTTATCTTCTATCTATTAGTTTCCCAGTACAAAAGAACAAAACCCACACAAGTCTGGGCTATGAAGCACACTAACGGACCCACATTTGGTCCCAAAATAACGTGACAGTTTAACTGCCAAAACCAGCAAAGACACCTCCCAAGTCCTGATAGTTTAGTGAAAAAACTTTATTACTGAGAACCTAGAGGATGAAGAGCTGCCTGCTTCAACCCCTCCATTTATACCAAAATCTGTGTCATGGGACAAAAGTAACACCAGATTTAGCATTTTCATTTTAACTTATGTAAGAAAATAGGTTTTCTCCCCACCCTGAATTGGGAGCTTCCCCATTCCAGATTTCTAGGCCTCACTATAGATAACAAAGAAATCAGGCTGCATTTAAAACTAAGATCCTTTTGAACACTTAGCATCTGTCTTATATCAAATGATCTAGAGTCCAAAATTCAAGTACCACATAACAGTACCTTAAAATTAGTACTCAAAGAAATATACTCACTTCTTCATTCCTGAAAATGTTTTATGAAGACCTGATTTTGATTTCAGTTTTTTCAATATGAATTTTTTGTGCAAAAGCTAGAAATTGAAATCAAGTAGTCTGAGCCACCCAAATCAAGTAAAACTTACAGGCAGCACAGTGAATCGGAAACGACACTACATGGGACGGGTAACCTGTGTTTCCTGCTATGTGAACCCGGGACTTCTGATGTTAACATCCATTTCGTGTAAGGCAGGGTGCTGCCCAGAGGAAAAGCAAAGAAACACATCTACAAAGTCAGAAATTCCTCCATGTGGGATCACATTTACCCACCATATGAATCAGTAAGGCCTTCAGAGCCACAGCACAGGCCTCTGCTGGTTTAGCTAACTAATGCTTACACTGACAATCATCCTCTATGTAGAGCAGGGGGTTGTACAGCTATAGTGTACAGCTATTTGCTAGAAGGAGAAAATACAAAGATACAGGATTTTTGTTCTATGACAAGATTCGTGAGTACTTCAATAGTTAAAATACTTTGGCACCATCTGCTACAAGTCTGTTTGATTCCTCCTACCCACTTTTCTGCCCATGAAATTGTAGGACTTTGCTTTCAAAAGAGGCAAGTGCTGGATCTCCTTAACGAAATGACGGCAAGACTTAACAAGGCAAAGTGGTTTATTTTCCCTACAAATTAAGCCTCGTTTTCTGGGATAATTAAGTTTAAATGCAAACTCTGTGAACAAAAAATTTCCAACTCTAATTAACCAAACCCTTTATCCAGAGGTAGACATCTGGCATAGAAAACTCCAGTTTCTACTGTTGCAGTATGATAAACTTTTAATTGCTAAAGAGAAATCTCAGAATACTAATATGAACAGATCATTTTAAGTGTCACTAACAGGCTGTGATCTGCGTGATCCTGATTTTGAAACAACAGGATGGATCCTCTTTAAAACAGGTGATCCACTAACAGGAACTGCCTTCCTTGACGAGTTTATAGTCTAAAATAATCCAAATTTAAAAGTCTGTGTTCCATTTTCATTATTACCAGAGTGTCTCTGTAGAGGGCCAGTGCTTTACAAGGTTTGGTGGAACCCATTCTTGACTGCTGAGCAGAATGGATCCTTAGTGGTGGTCTGCTATGTGTCTCTTACATATACATTAAGTTATATAAACTGGATTATAACAGAGCATTTTGAAAAGAGAAGATCTTTTCATGCAAACAGGTAGCTGATCCTTTAGAGCTTACTGCAATGATGCAATGGATTCATGGTGAATTTGACAAGGCATTATCCATCTATGTTCATGTATTCCAGAAAACTGTTTCTAAACCATTTTGCTATTTTTAAGAACTTCTTCCCAAGATTTACAGCCTACTTGTAAGTCCAGGGAGGCAGGAAAAAGACAGAAGAAAAGATTCCCTGAACAAAATAGAGCAGAATAAATTGCAAGCAAAGCCAAAGAGAGGCAAACGGGCCGAGTTGCTACCTCAATGGCAATGTTCCGTTTTCTCGGTGCTGAACCTCTGACATTTTCAAAGGTTGGCAATTACCATTTTATCTTCCAAACTGAGCCTACACATGCAACATAAACTTTGTATTGGAAGTGGTGCAAACCAGTCTGCTGGATTCAAGTTTCCTTTCGAAGACAGATGTTCCCAAATAAGGTTAGTGTAGGTAGCCTGTGATAGATACGTATTTTCCTGCATATTACATCTAACTGAATTGGAATCTAAACCAGCCCTCTGCAGTAGAACAGTGAAGGATTGTTGTTTATTCCTAGATCCAAATGGCATTTCCATTTCCCCATACCTGCAACAAGTTCAGAAGTAACAGTCTTGCCATAGGTGATCTTATTTTGGATAATTTCAGCCATTAATAACTTGGTAAACCCAGATGTAGCATTTGTAGTAAGTTACTCCGTTTGTCACATCTAATATTTCCAAGACTTACTCTTTTTGTAGGCATTAGGATATCTGTCCATGTTTTGATGGACTTTCAATTTGAACATTCACCAGGTAAGCTGGAAATAACCGTGTGTATGGTTTAGATATTGAAAACCTACAATTTCCAACACTGAAAAAGCACCTTCAGTTGACATTAACTTTGACAACTCATCAAGCTTCTTACAGCTTTGCTGTCATCATTCACAGGTTACATGAGATTATTTGTCTATTACTGTCTCTCCTTTTCTTTTTTTTTGGTCAGCTTTCCTCTTCATACAGTTGATTTTGCAAGTCCTTTTCCAGGTGCTATGTATGGTTCATGTTTACTCCAGCTCTTTTCAATTCCAGTACAGGTATCACTTATTTAGACTTAAGATTTATTTGTCCATCAGATTCAACTGTCATTGTCGTTAAAGATGCTGACACAGGGCAAGAATCATAACATGTCAGTATTAAACTACAACGGATTATTAGGAATCCAACCTATGGAACATAGGAAACTGTATTTCAATTTGATCTGTTTGAGATTAATCATTTCTCTTGCCACTCAAATTTGCAGACTCTTCTGTTGCCACTTCCTCCACACTTTCTGACATCCTTAAGTTTCCTCTCCAGTGGTGAGTAGTGTTACCTACCAGCTTGTTCTTAACAGCGATTTCAAATAACACTAAAAATTGCTAAGTTATGCAACATAAGTTACTCCATTGCTTTCTCTGCTCCATTTCTTATCATAACTTGCTTGTGTTACCATTCTTTCATTAGGTAACAATGTATTTGGAAATACTGTTATTCAAAGTATGAAGCAGTTGTAGAATTAATTACTCTTCTAGTTACTACTGCTGATGTTCTTGAACAATGCTTTAAAAACACAGTTTTCATGTACATTGAGTATTATTGTGCTGAGAACGAGTATTATCTGCGGAGAAAATTCAGAAGGTGGATGGGCGAAGTGAGGACAGGTGGTCTGGGAAGAATACAGGAACATTGTCCAGGAAGCCAGGGACCAGATTAGGAAAGCAAAGGCCCAGTTAGAATTAAATCTGGCAAGGGATGTGAAAGGTAACAGGAAAGGCTTCTATAGGTATGCAGCAAATAAAAGACAGACTAGGGACAATGTGGGCCCTCTCCAGAAGCTATCGGGAGAACTGGCTACCCTGGATTTGGAGAAAGCTGAGGTTCTTAATGACTTCTTCGCCTCAGTCTTCACTAGCAAATGCTCTGACCACACCACCCACGTTTTGGAAGGCAAACACAGGGACTGTGAGAATGAAGACCTTGGGCCCACTGTAGGAGAGGATCAGGTTTGAGACCACCTTAAGAACCCAAACGTGCACAAGTCCATGGGACCTGATGAAATCCATCCACGGGTCCTGAAGGAGCTGGCGAATGAAGTTGCTCGGCCACTGTCCATAATATTTGAGAGGTCATGGCAGTCAGGTGAAGTTCCAGACAACTGGAAGAAGGGAAATGTAACCCCCATTTTCAAGAAGGGGAAGGTGGAAGACCTGGGGAACTATAGACCAGTCAGTCTCATCTCTGTGGCCGATGTCAAGCTTATGAAGTTTAACCAAGCCAAGTGCAAGGTCCTGTACCTGGGTCGGGGCAACCCCAGGCACAGCTACAGGTTGGGCAGAGAAGAGATTCAGAGCAGCCCTGCAGAGAAGGACTTGGGGGGGGTGGTTGATGAGAAGCTGAACATGAGCCGGCTTCAATGTGTGCTCACAGCCCAGAAACCAACCATATCCTGGGTTGCATCAAAAGAAGCGTGACCAGCAGGTCCAAGGAGGTGATCCTGCCCCTCTACTCTGCTCTCGTGAGACCTCACTTGGAGTATTGCGTACAGTTCTGGTGTCCTCAAC